ACAGAACGGCGCAGCAGTTCCAAGCTGCCAGATCTCGGCTGCCAGAGGCGGCCGGGGTGCCTTCTTGAGGCGACGGCGCTGCTGTCAGGGAGGGTCTCCCCCTCCCCTCTCCTCCTCCCCTCTCCCCTCTCCCCTCTCCTCCCCTCCCCTCCCCTCTCCTCCTGCCATCTCCCCTCTCCTCCTCTCTCCCCTCTCCTCCCCTCCTGGCTTCAATTCCCCCTCCCCTCTCCTCCTTTCCTGGCTAGGTGCGCGTTCGCTCCAGTCGTCGCGCCTGTCTGCGGGGATCCGAAGGGGTGTGGGGTTAGCAGAGCAAGGGCGGTCTGGCCATCGCTCGGACGTCCATTCCCTGTGTCTTTTTCGGTTTCGTGCGTGGTTTTTTCGCCAAATGATCAAGGATGCTCCTCGATGGTCCTCGCCGAAGGAAAAATCCACACGTCCGAGCGATGCCAAGGGGTGGGTGAAAGCACGGGGGCAAAAAAACGACCCGCGGCAAGCGTTTTGACTGCCGCGGGCGCGCTGGTATCCATTGCGGCGCCAGCTCCCGATTCACTTATGTCCTTGGTCAATTCCTTCTGATGGGGAAGGCGAGGCGGTTTCGCAGCACCTACGCACCTCAGCACCTTTTACAATACCAAGAAGGCGGGTAAGAGGGACAGTTTGGTGTAGGGGGCAGGAAGGCTGGAGGCCGGTACTTGTCACCCCAGTGTGCGCGGCAGCTGATCAACTCTCGCAGTACTGTGAAGGGCACCCAGTGTGCGCGGCACCTAATTAACTCTTGCAGTGCTCGATACCCATCTTTCTCCTTCGCTCCTGATCCATGATAAATGATTTCTCCCTGGCGCACCCCGAGGCCAATTTCTAGGGCGGGCCAGGCGTTTCGCCTGAAACTTCCTCACCACGAATGACCCTGAAGCTTAAACGTTGGCAGCCGTTTTGCAAATGGAAGGCGGGTCGTATTCAAAAAAAGGCTCTCGCATTATCGCCGCGCACACTCGTTCTAAAAATTGCAAGGGCTTCACGGATTCAGGGCGGGCCGCTTTCAAAATGATGCTCTCGCCTTGGCCCTGCGCACTTTCGTTCTAGAAAACTTCCAAGAGCTTCACGGGTTGAGGGCGGGTCGTTTTCAAATTGTGGCTCTCGCCTTAGCGCCGCGCACATTCATTCTTAAACATTGCAAGAGAAACACGGATTGAGGGCGGCTGCTTTTCGAAATGTGGCTCTCGCATTAGCGCTGGGCACATTCGTTTTCAACATTGACAAGAGTTTCATGGATTCCCATGACCAACGTACCAGATATGGCGCTTTTGGAAGGATTCAGGATTATGGGGGTGCAGCAGTTCCATGGACTCGCAGTATTGAAGTCTTCGGAGTAGCGTTCTGGCACGACTCAGGATCCTGAAGACGCAACAGTCAGCTTGATCCGTGGCGTTGGAATCCCGAGAACATTGGCATGCTTCATGGTCTTCAAACGGTTGTCTTCCAACGAGGCAGGTCCCTCAGTTGAAATGGAGCGTTGCAGGGGCCTATGACAAGGGGGAGCTTGGAGGGAGGGTTGATTCCAACATACTTGATGATTCTTCTTGGGTTTACGCTGGTGCGACTCCTCCTCCTCTTCCTTCTCCTCTATCTCGTCTTCATTATCAGCAAAAGGATGATCAGTAGCATCATCGCCATCACCATCACCACCATCATCAGCATCACCATCGTCTCAATCATCATAATCAGCGCAACCATCAGGATCACCATCACCATCATGGTCATTACCACCAATCCTACCATCACCATCATCTTCATCAGCAAAAGCATTATAATCACCATCATAATCATCATCATTATCATCATCATCATCAAAATCATCATCGTCATCCTCATAATCATATTCACCATGACCACTGGTATCGTAACATATCCGAATTATTACCATCATCGTTCTCCCCAGCATGATCATCATCACCATCATCGTCATGTTGCTTATGGCCATGCTCAGCAGCATCAATATCTCCACGACCGACATCGTCATCATCATCAACATCACCATCCGTATCATCGTAACCCTCATGATCAGAAGCATCACCAGCATCTTGATCATCATCATCGTCACCCTGACCACCATCATCAGCAGCATCACCATCACGATCAGGATCATAATGATGATCAACATCATCGTCATCAGCATCATCATCTTCATCCTCATCCCCATCAAAATCAGCATCATCAGCATCATCATCATCGTCATCATCGTCACACAGCTGCGCCTCCCTCTCCGCTTCTCCCTCCTCGTGAACCATCCTGCGTGCTCCTGCTACTGCCCTTCTTCCTCCTCCTCCACCTCCTCCTACTCATTCTGTTCCTCTCCTCCCACCATCGCCCTCCACGTCCTCCTCCTCCTCGTACTCCTCCCTCCTGTTCCTCATGCTGGTACTGCTGCTACTGCTGATGCTACTGCTGCTACTGATGCTACCGCTCCTACTGTTATTATCTAAAGTGAGTGCCTTCCTCGGGCCTGGCCTAGTTTGTGTGCGCTGTGCGTTGGCGCGCGTCCTTGCCGTTCGAGGCCCAGTCGAGGCTCTCTTCTGCACTCTTGGCAATGTTCCATTGCTCCCCCCGCTCGAGGGGAAGGGTACCCGACCTCCAGGCTCCTCAAGGTACCGCTTTAGACTGTCTGCTGCCGAGAAGATGGAATCACCACAAGAAAAATCTCGAGGCTAGAGAGCATATCCATTGGAACCAATTCCTTCGCGTACCACAAAATTCCCTACCTAGGCTCTGCCTAGAAGGGTTCTAACCGTCTAGCTTAAAAGGGCCGGGCAATGTAACCCGCCCCGGGCGGTTCCCCCGGCACCCGCCCCGCGGTTCCCCCAGTTACGTCCCCTTAGCTTAGCGTTGCTTATCTCATCTTAGCTTAGCCTAGCTTAACTTAGCTTAGCCTAGCTTAGCTCAGCTTAGCGCAGCATTAGCATAGCATAGAATAGCATGGCATATCATATCATAACATAGCGCAGCATAGCATAGCGCATCATAGCATAGCATAGCATAGCACAGCATAGCGCAGCATATTATAGCATACCATAGCTTAGCTTAGCATAGCACAGCGCAGCATAGCATATCATAGCATAGCATAGCGCAGCATAGCATAGCATAGCATAGCATAGCATAGCATAGCGCAGCATATCATAGCGTAGCGTAGCATATAATAGCATAGCATAGCATAGCCTAACCTAGCCTAGCCTAGCCCAGCAACGCATTGCGCAGCATAGCACAGCATAGCATAGCTTAGCTTAGCATAGCATAGCATAGCATAGCGCAGCACAGCATCCACTATTACCGCTCCTACTAATGTTGCTTTCCTTGAGGCTCCAACTCCTAGGTAGGGTCGCACTGATATTATCGGCCACCTTGCCTTGAACACGGGTGGGCAGGCTCCGGACCCCCCCCCCCCAAAAAAAAAAGTTGCATCTCTTGGGAGGGCAACTTTTGCTTCCGCCGGCGGAGCCGCCCTCGTCTTGTTTCTGCAAGCATTCCGCCGCCTTTCGCCGAGGAGAAGATATGAACATCATCTTTTCCGATGGCGAGGCCGTTCCTGGAACCCTCCACGTAGCAAGGTGCCCAAAGGCTCATAGTGTCCGACCCCCCTTTTCACAGAGCTGTTGTGCACACAATCTCGGGCTGTGGCCGACGAGCCCCCCAAGGCCAGAACTGCCCATGCTTAGGGCTGCCTCTTCATACTATTGGGGCTGAGAGGGTGCGCTGGGCCAGGTGCCATGGCTTTCTCTTTCCCCAGGCGATCCCAAGATCGAAGAAGAAAGGACGCCATAAACATAAACTGCTGGCGCTCCGTGCGGACTTCTTGGATCTGCGCTGGACCCCCCTCGGAGCGCGCCAGGGGCGGTGCCGGAAGCGCCGCCGGGGGGGGCGCAGCGCAGATCCAAGAAGTCCGTACGGAGCGCCGAAAGTTTATGTTGATGTTCTGTTGCTTCTCTCGCAGGAGTAAGACGAGGGCAGGATGACGACACATTCGGATGAGGAGAAATCGGGAGCGCCGAAAGTTTATGTTCATGTTATGTTGCTTCTCCAGCCTGGAGTAAAAGCGAAGACAGGATGACGACAAAGTCGGATGGCGAGAGATCGGGAGCAAGAACCGGCGGGTCTCGAGGATGCAGTGGGCGCCGAGCCGCGGCAGAGACTGAGGGCGTTCCAGATCGCTCTGGAGGAGGATGATGAGGAGGAGGAGGAGAAGGAGGAGGAGGGGGAGGAGGAGGAAGAGGGGGAGGAGGAGGAGGAGGAGGAGGGGAAGGAGGAGGAGGAGGAGGAGCGAATTGTCCGCATCCCAGGCCTGCCCGAAAGAGCCCCCCCCCCTGCGGAGACCCAGAGGCCTGTGGAGACTTCCTAGGTCCAAGGGTCGGGGCGACGTAATACTCGGGTTGACCTGACGGGGCCATCATGAAAATGGCGAGACCCAATCTGACATTTGGCACGACTTCCCGCTGCAAACATCCCACGACAACTGGACCGTCAAAATCCAGGACGCGCTCGTCGAAGATCGTTGGCAGCCCCGAGTTCCGTCCTACTCGAATCGTACGTTGCCCCGAGAAAGGTCCCCCAGAGGCCCCCAAGACACGGCGGCGGAATGAGCCGCAGGAGACCAGATACTGAAGGTGGCGTTGCAGTTGTTGCGTCCCCCGCTTCCTCTGCCAGCACGACCTCCGCCGGTTTACCCTCGTGGGTGAGCCTCCATGGCAGCCTCTGTGGACCTCAGCGGTCCTATCATCGACATGATGTCGACCAACTTCCGTCTAGATTTCGACCGTCCCTCTTCGCCCTTTCGTCCAGGTTTCGTCAAAACTTCGTCCAGATGTCGACCAAATCCGACGAAATCTGGACAAACTCCCAAAGACACGCGAGGAGTGTTGGGACCCTCTGAGGCCCCCATGGAAGACCACACAAGCCCTCCCCTCGCCAAGCGAGCTCCGCGAACGCCAGGCGGCTCTTCTGCCCCCCGCTCAAGTTCCTGAGCGCGGCCGGCAGAGACGCTCGCTGCTTCGAACTTGCTCTGTGGGTGCTGCGCATCCCCTGTCGCCACTGCGGGAGATTCTCCAAGCGACACCACTGGACGGGCCACGAAGCGAGTCCGGGGACGAACGAGCAGTGACGCCTGTGCTTTGTCGCTGGGCTGGCTCGCCTCGGCTGGATCCTTCCTGCCTCCACCCTGGCAGCCGTCGGGGACCCTGGCATTTTTGGAGGTTCCGCTTCGCAGGCCGTGCCCCCGCTGGCCTGACGGGTCGCTTGCTGCATGGCTTCCTGGCTCTGCGGTGGTCGAAGCAGTCGTCGTGCTACCACCTGGACACCCGAGTCAGAAGCTGAGGGGCTTTCCTTGCCACGGTACGGCAGGTTCGTGTCGTGCCGACCCCAGCGTTGGTTTTTGACACCGCAGGGATCGTTCAACCTTGAACGATCGGCCGCTGCCGCAACGTCCGATCGTTCAACCTCGATCGATTCTGGGTCGCCGGCGGCGTTCAACCTTGAACGCCCGCGCTGGGGTCGCCGCTGGTCGACACGACGCAAACCTACCGTAACACCTCGGCCTCGGGCAGGCCCCCGACCGACATCCAGGGAGCGGCCCGACAGCCAGAGCCCATCCCGAGCCGAACCTGTTCCTAATCCCAGCGTCTTCACTGTGAGCAGGAGGAGGAGGAGGAGGAGGAGGAGCCCTCTGTGATCCCTGCGCCAGCAAAGTTTCGTCACAGCTTCAGTTCCATTCGATCTAGACTTAATTGGCCTTGCCTTGAATCCGACCATGCAATTCTGCACTCCCTGTGTGCGCGCTTCGCTGAGCAACAGCCCTGGACAAACCCTCTCCAAAACCGAACGTGAACGAAACACAACTCGGTTGTTCTCCCACGTGGCTTCTCTGACAACTACATCTCTGGTCGACACAATGTCCTGGCTATGATCGACTCGACTCCGGATAAGCACGGTCCTACGTTCAGCTAACACTCGCATTGAATCCACCATATGTCTAGACGAACTCTGGGCTGATCCGCCAATGCAGTCCAACTGTAGCCACACACGCGAAAATGAACACGATATCGCATCAATCCAGAACGGCCCAGATTGACAATCAGGGCAACGTTTGTGCGAGCGATGAAACGTGATGAAGAGATCAACAACAACTGAGCAAACGAACTCACCGCTCTACTACGCCGTCTTAGGATGTCTGACGGACGGTGACCATATTCGCTGCGCTAGGAACCAGAAACACGCGGCGCAACCGATGACAAAGAAAACGCAAGACAACGAAACACATTGACAGGCCGACCGAAGGGCAGACCAGACTAGACCCGACCAAATAGGACCCGACCAGACGGAATTGAACGCCGTAAGCTGGAAACAAAATGTACCAAAGATGGGAGACGGGAGGGCAGGCAGTGGCAAAGCTTCTCCCTACGGGACACCCTTTGGCACCAGAAGTCCTTCAAGTCATATTTGAGGACATCGTGCCAAATCGATGGCAAGCCCGTGAGGCAGCCTCTGAGACAAGCAATCCTGGCGAACCTCTGCACAGGGCAGGACGTGCCAAAAACAGCTCCCTCCAGCACGCATGTACTATCTGGTGTGCACGTCGGCCAGCATGTCTATCACCCTGAAGCCAGCCAGCCTGCGTGCATGTTGCTGGTCTGCCTCTGCGCTGCGCACTCAGGCCTCAAATCCCTACCAGCAAGAGGGGTACTTGAGCGCAGGTCGGCAGGGCTTGCGCGAGACAGGCGTAACGAATCGCGTTCTCCTCATGCCATCATGCGCCCGACAATATCAAACTGCACGACGTGTCTCCGGCAAGTGGCCCGATCCTCCCCCTCCTCCTCCTCCTCCCGTCCTCTGCCCCAACTCCCCATCCTCTTGTTGCGCGGGGGGGCGGGCGCTCTTGATAGGGTTCAGCGCCAGGTCGCCCTGCAGCCCAAACTTGCCGAGGTACTTCCTCGCCTCGCGCCCGCGCTTGGGGGCCGAGGCGGCGCGTGCCGGTCGGCAGGCCCCCCCGTGCCGCAGGCTTGCCGCCGGTGGCCGCGACGGATCGCCCCCTCCCCCACCCGCGGGGCAGTTTCGAGGACCCCTTGGGATCCTTGGAGATTCCTTCACGCGAGGAGGAGAAGTAAGGGGAAGAGGAGGAGGAGGAGGAGGAGGAGCAGGAGGAGAAGGAAGAAGAGGATGAGGAGGAGGAGGAGAAAAACGAGGAGGAGGAGGGAGGGGAAAGAGGGAGGAGGGGGAGGAGGGGGAAGCTTCAGCAGGCTCCGAAGCCGTGTTCGGTTCGACGGGGCCTCGGCCCCGCGGGGGCGGCTGGCGGGGCGCGGCCGGCGCAGACCCCGCCGCGCCGTGGGGTTGTCCTGGCGAAGCACCCAGCCGTACGCAGTTGCGAACCACGGGGTGGCGTGTACACCCTGCGAAATGCTTAAGAAATCATGGGTTAAGAAATTCATAGTCTCAGAACTTCCATAAAAAAACAACATTTCTATTAAAATCTTAGGACTTACATTGAAACATTAAGAATAATCGAGACTCTGGCCGAAAACTTGAGTTTTCTTAAGCATCGCCTAAGGTGTACCGCCCTCGGTGGATCTCTTTCTGTGGGGCCGCGGAGCGTGCAAAGGTTTCGCCAGAACCGGGCGGGGCCACGCGGGCGCTGCGGCCGGGTGTGGCGAGGTGGGGCGGGGCCGCGAAGCGAACCTCGCCACTGGGTCCTCCGGTGGAGCTCCCTGTGGGCCCACGCAAGGTGTGAAGGGGCGTACGACAATGGGCGTGGGAGGCTCATGCAAACGTCGCCACTGGTGTCGTCGGTGAAGCTCGTATGGGGCCACGACACTGGTGAAAGGTGCGCCGAAATGGGCGGGGGGGACGCATGCGAACGTCGCCACGGGGGCGTTCGGTCGAACTCCCTATCGGGCCACGAAGCGTTTAGTGGGGCGGACGCATTTGAACGTGGCCATTGGGACCTCCGGTAGGGCCACGAAACGCTGTACTGTCTGGGGCGGGCGAGCGAACGTCGAGCCACGATGCATGCGAACGTCGCCACTGTGACCTTCGGTGGAGTTCCGTATGGAGCCACGGAGCGCTGTATTGGGTGGGGCGGAGGCATGCGAGCGTCGCCATAAGGGCATTCGGTGGGAGTCCACGTGGGGCCACGACGCGCTGCACTGGGCGGGGCGGACGCATGGAAACGTCGCCACGGGGGCCTCCCGTGGAGCCACGTAACGTTGCACTGGATGGGGTGAACGCATGTGGGCGTCGCCACTGGGGTCTCTCGTGGAAACATTAGGAGGCCACGAAAGCGCAATACTGGGTTGGGCAGGCGCATGCGAACGTCGCCACTGTGACCTTCGATTGACCTCCCTATTGGGCCACGGAGCGATGTACTGGGTGGACCAGACGCATGCGGACGTCGCAATGGGGGCCTGCGGTGTAGCTCCCTATGGGGCCCGGAACGCTGTACTGGGTGGGGCAGACGTATGCGGACGTCTCCACTGTTACCTTCGGTTGAGCTCTCTCTGGGACCACGAAGCGCTCTGCATGCGAACGTCGCCATTGGGGCTTTCGGTGGAGCTCCCCATGGGGCCACGAAGCGTTCCACTGGGCGGGGCGGACGCAAGCACACGTCGCCACGGGGCCTGCCCGTGGAACTCCCCATGGGACCACGAAACGTTGCACTGGAGGGGTGGACGCATGCGAACGTTGAAACCGGGGTCTTCGGTGGAACCATTATGAAGCCACCAAGGCGCAATGCTAGGTGGAGCGGATGCATGCGAACGTCGCCACTGGAGCCTCCAGTGGAACTCCCTATAAGGCCAAGCGCTGTGCTGGGCGGGGCGGACTCATGCAAACGTCGCCACTGTGGTTTTCGGTGGACCTCCCTTCGGGGCCACGAGCCGCTGCCGTGGGTGGGGCGGGCGCGTGCGAACATCGCCAGTGTGATCTTCGGTGGAGCCCCCTTATGGGGCCACGTAGTGCTTTACTGGGTGGGGCGGACGCATGCGAACGTCGCCATTGGGGCCTTCGCTGGCTTTCTATGGGGCCACGTAGCGCTGTACTGACGCATGAGAGCGTCGCTACCGGGGACTTCGGTTGAGCTCCCTACAGGGACACGATTGAACTCTCTATGGGGCCATGAAGCGTTGCACTGGGTGGGGTGGGCGCATGCGAACGCTGCCTTTGGGGCCTTCGGTGGAGCACCCCATATGGCCACGAAGCGCTGTCCTGAGTGGGATGGGCGCCTGCGAACGTCACCACTGTGGCCACCAAATTCCCTACGGTGCCACGAAGCGCTGTATTGTGCGAGTCCGACGCATGCGAACATTGCCATTCGGGCTTGCGGTGGAGCTCCCCATAAGGCCAAGAGGCGCTGTAGTTTGTGGGCCTTCGGTTAACCTCCCTACGGGGCCACGAAGCGCTGTACTGGGTGGAGCGGGCGCATGCGGACGTCGCCACGGGGGCCTGCGGTGGAGCTCCCTATGGGGCCACAAAACGCTGTACTGGGTAAGGCGGTCGCATGCGAGCGTCGCAAGTGGGACCTTTGGTATAGCTGCGTATGAGGCCGCGGAACCATGTACTGGGTGGGGCGGATGCATGCGGACGTCTCCACTGTGGCCTTCGGTGGAATTCCCCATGGGGCCACGAAGCGCTGTACTGCGTGGGGCGGGCGCGTGCGCACGTCGCCACTGGGCCCTTCGGTGGGGCTTCTTTCCTGCGAGGCCACGAAGGGCTGTACTGGGCCGATCGGACGCATGCGACGCCGCCACTGTGGCCTTTGCTGGAGCTCCCTATGAAACCACAAAGCGTGTGAGGGGTGCGCTGAACTGGTTGAATTGCGGAAAGCAGGAGGAGGGTGAGGAGGAGGAGGATGAGGAGGAGGAGGAGGAGGAGGAGGAGGAGGAGGGGGGGAGGATGAGGAGGAGGAGGAGGAGGAGGAGGAGGATGAGGAGAAAGGGAAAGAGGAGTCCGGAGTCCGTAGGCTCAAGCGAATTCCGCTTCGGGAGACACTCGCCAGCGCGCCTGCACAGGCGCAGGCGCGCAAGAGGCAACGATGGAGGACGGCGCCGACAACGGCAAGCACGCGGGCCGCCGCTGGGCAGCTGCGGGTGCCGGACGCTCGCCCGCCGCCGCCGTCGCGAGTTCAGGCGCGACCCTGGGCTCAGCCGCGGTGCCGCGCTTGCCCGCCGTCCTCGGCTGGCTCGGCACGGACTGGCGGCGCACCGGAGGCTGTCCGACCCAAGCGGCGGCTGCTGCCCCGCCATTGGGATGAATCTCAATTGAGCAGGGACCGAGCGTCGCAGCATTCCTATAGTCCTACCACGATATGTTCTTGAATGTTCTAAAGAACAAAACAATGTCCTTAGAACATAAACCCGGTGTGTGTGTAAAAAAGACAGGTTCCGCCAGAACTGTTCTGAGAACACTTCGTGGGAACCACAAGCGGTTCTTAGAACATTGCCTGGTGGGGCTGTAGGCACGCTAGGACGCCTCGCCACTGCTTGACTCGACCGACCTCGGGAAGCAGGGGAGGACTGCAGCGGAGCGAAGTGGGCAGGGCACTCTCCGCCGCCTGGCTCCGGGCAGCCGCCCAGATGCCCAGGTGCGCCGGCGGCGAGCTCGGCCCGAGGCCTCCCGCGCCGACCTTCTGCCAGGCGCCGCAGGCAGATCTCCTGCACTGAGGATTCCGTATTCCGGGAGCTGTCGATCTCCACGCAGGTAGTGTCGGGAAAGGCCAATAAAGGGGTGTCCAAGAGGGGGGGGTGCAAATCATGACCGGCGGCATGTGCGCGGCCCAGCGGGGAGGCCAGGGACGTAATGAAATAAGAAGAGGCGCCATAAAATCTATGGAAATATCATGGCCCCCGCCATGATATCCCCACCCCTAATCATCACACCCCCCTCTTTTCCGCCCCCGATAGTGGAGCTGCGCTCCGGCCTGGGGGTGACGATCGTGGAGCCCTTCCTCATCGGCTTCCTGGGCATCTTCTTCCTGCTGCCGGTCATGTTCATGGAGTAGGCGGTGTTCCTCCCGCCTGTCACGAGGAAGCTGTTCGTACTGGCGCTGACCCCTGCATGGCGCCGCGAGGTGACCTCCTCAGGAACTCGGAGTTCTGGAAACTGGGAATCTTCAAGCAAGTAGCGTCAAAAAACGGCTTGGGATGAGACGCGGGTTCCCGGGGAAGGCTCGTCCCCAGGGGAGGAGGAGGAGGAGGAGGAGGAGGAGGAGGAGGAGGAGGAGGAGGAGGAGGAGGAGGAGGAGGAGGAGGTAACTCTGACCGCCCACGCTGCGACCCAATGGCAGCGTCGGGGTTCAGGGGACAAGCCCAGACATCCGGCGTCTCGAGTTTTTGAAGGGGCCCCGGGACACACAAATAAATACACACAAATAAAAATATTCCCCATATCTTCCTATATTTTCTGGGTTTCTGTCTTCCCCCCCACTTCCCATGTTTTCCCATCTTTTCTGGGGAATCGAGGATTAATTGTGTCTGTGTGTTTCTTTTCCTCCTGCGTTTTGCTGAGCCACGAGGCCCCGACCTCTCGACCGCTTCCCTGGGACCGGCGTTGCACCCCCAGCAGCACAGCCGTACTGTTGAAAAGCGTGGGCCCCGTTGGATCCCATACTCCAGATTTCGTAATAAAAGGGAGGGGGTCTGGACCCTCCAAGACAAGCCATTTCAGACCCCCCCTCGTGGGAGAACCCTCCCAAACAGCGTCCCCAGACCACCCCAGGCCCTCCAAGATAGCCTGGAAGAGACCCCCCCCGAAATGAGACCCCCCCCCCCTTCTTACGAAATCTGGAGTAAGTGAGTCGTGTGCGAAATCACGTGGATCAAGTGTGTTGGTCGTCTGGAGTCAATTTTTAGGGTTGGAGGCCTCGTGGATCCAACTCCTTCTCTGGTCGCTTCCGCCACCGCAGTGCCCCCTGGCATGCTGAGGCGCGGTAAAACGCCAAGTTCTGTCAGGTAGGGTCTCTGTAATCTTCTAAGGCCCCCCCCCCCCCTTCACCTAGAATTAGCAGACTTCCGTGTGAACCGCCCTCTCCTCCAGAGGCTCCCTGGACGACCTGACGTTTTCCAGGCGCGCTTCAAGGCGGCCGAGATGCCCAAGATGGTTTCGAAGACGTACGTGGTAGGCCACCAAGGCTGCCAAGGGAGCCCGAGATGCTTCCGTGACGCCCCAAGATGGCCCCAAGACGGCGCAAGATGGCCTCAAGACGCTCCAGGAGGCCCTCATTGTCGTCGTCGTCGTCGCCGCCGCCGCCGCCGCCACCGCCGCCGCCATCCTCGTCGTCGTCGTCATCATCTTTGTCAGAATCGTCATCAGCATCAGCATCAGCATCAGCACCAACATCAACACCATCACCACCGTCATCAGAGTCACGTTCATCTTCGTCATCAGAAGCACCATCATCATCAGCATCACCAGTATCATCATCATCATCGTCAGCAGCGACCGCATCAGCATCAAAACAATATCATCATCATCATCATCATCATCATCATCATCATCATCATCATCATCATCATCATCCTCATCATCATTCGCATGATCAACAACATCACCATCACCCTCATCATCAACATCATCATCGTCAACATCACCACCTTCATTATCAGCACCGCCAACATCATCACCACCATCATCATCATCATCAGCATCTTCATCATCGTCATCAGCATCATCATCACTGGCATCGTCATCATCATCATCACCACCACCAGCATCATCATAATCAGCATCAGCACCAATCTCATCATCAGCATCATCACCATCATCATCAACATCATTATCAGTATCATAACCATTGTCATCAGCATCATCATCCTCCTCATCACCACCACCATCGTCATCATCATCATGCTCATAAGCATCATCATCATCATCATCATCCTCATCATCATCATCACCATCATCATCATCATCACCATCATCATCATCATCATCGTCGTCGTCGTCATCATCATCATCACCATCATTCCCATCACCATCACCATCACCATCACCATCACCATCACCATCACCATCATCAGCATCATCATCATCATCATCATCATCATCACCGTCATCGTCGTCGTCGTCGTCATCATCATCATCATCATCATCATCATCATCATCATCATCATCATCATCATCATCATTCGCTAGCGTGCCTTGCGTACACTGAGGCGTGGGAGAATGCCAAGGTCTGCCGGGTCGGGTGCCTGAGCCTAAGGGTCACCCCCTCCCCTGCTAGCGCCCAGCGGGGGGGGGCGCCTCGCCCCCCCTCCGCCGAAAGCAACATCCCTGGTAAAATAACGCAGAGTCGCGCTCCCGAGGCTCGGATGCCTCCGAGACGGCCCAGCATCAATCCACGATGCAGTCAACCCGTATAGTAAGGATGCGCGATAAGGATGAGAGCCTTGGAAACCCATTTCGAAGCCTCTCGAGTGGGGCGCGGCCAGCGAAAGCGGCGAAGGATGAACCGAGGAGGCAAGGATGCAAGGGTACCCTTGGGAAGGTTGCCCATCCTTACTATGCGGGTTGACTGTAGTCTACGTCGGCCTTCAGACGGCCTACGATGGCTTCAAGACGGCCTACGAGGCCGTCGAGGCGTCTCAGGAGAGGCCCGGGAGCCTTCCCAAGAGGGCCTCGAGAGGCAGCAAGCATTGATTTATTGTTGGTGTTTCAAGGTGCTTCGGTTTCTCGCCTGTTCGAGCATCCGACGTCCTAAGGCGACCCTACAGGCCACCAACACGGCCCCAAGATGGCACAAAAAAAAACCCACGACGGCCCAAGGGGGCTCCAATACGGCCCAGTAGGCGCCCTAGAACGCCCAAAAGGGCCTCAAGACGGCCCCAAGAAGGGTCTTCGAGGGTGCACACGGATCCACAATACAGGAGGCCGTCCGCCGCAAGAGGGCCCAGGAGGCCCCAAGAGGGCCAAAAGAGGCTCCACGAAGCAACACACATGGATCCTCCTTCGTTGTTACATGTTTTTGGGTCCCGCCTCTTCGAGCTCCCGACGCCCGAAGACGGTCCGAGAGGCGCCCAGAACACCCCCCGAGAAAGCTCAATAGGCCCCAAAGAGAGCTCGAAGACGGCTCCAAGACGGCCCAAGAGGCTCCCACGACTGCCAAAGAGGGCGCCAAGACGGCCCCAAGAAGGGCCCACGAGTGGGCCAGAATCCAAGCCTCCTGCCCCACAAGCCTCCAAGCAGGCCCCATCGTCTTCTCGAGTAGCTCCCACCCAACATGCTGCGATGGCACGGTGGCGGAATTGCCAGAGGCAGCTGAACCTGCATCGTGGTCGTCACCATCATAATCATAAGCATCATCAGTATCAGCATCATCAGCATCATCACCATCACAATCATCAAAAGCATCACAATTGTACTTATCATACTAATCACCATCGTCATCATCATCAGACTCATCAGCACCGTTAGACTCAGCATCATCACCATCATCCGCATCACCATTCATCATCAGAACATTGATCATCAATATCATCATCAGCATGACCACCATCATCACCATTATCACCGCCATCTCCATCATCATCGTCATCATCATAATATCATTAAACTCATCATCAGCATCATCATTATCATCGGCTCATCATCAGCATCATCCTCATCCTCATCCTCATCCTCATCATCAACAGCATCATCATCCCAGTCACCACCACTACCACCCACAGCGTTCTCCTCCTCATCCTCATCATCATCACTGGCATCGGCATCATCATTATCATCATCACCACCATCAATCAACACCAATCAACATCAGCAAAAGCGTCATCAGCAGCATCATCATCAGCAACACTATCGTCACCGTCACCACCACCAACATCATCACCACCTCCACCTCCGTCGTCATCACCATCACCACCACCATCAACATCACCACCATCAACATCATCACCATCATCGTCAGCGTCGTCGTCACTGCCCTCATCTTCGTCATCGTCGTCATCGTCGTCACCATCGTCACCATCATCCTCATGATCATAATCAGCATCACCATCATCGTCGTCAACATCATCAAACTCATCGAGTCGAGCCGCTGCTGCCGAGAATGCTGAGCTAACACGATGGCAGGACCTGCCGCATGCCGCTGGATAGTCTGAGTGTGGATCTGAATGTGAGTGAGTACGAGCGCGAATGAGTCTGAGTGTGCGCTAGTCTGAATACGATGGAGTCCGAGTGAGGCGCAGGGGTGAGCGGAAATGGGTCGCGGAGGCATCACACCAATACTCAGAATCCCAGCAAAAAAAAACACATCAGACAAAAGCTGGCCATCACACGCGGGAGGAATGGGCATGTGTGGCTGGGAGCTGCCTGCGGCAAGTAGCTCCAGCGACAGATCCCTGGTGAGGGAAGATCATGTGCGAAGACTCGGGTGCAGTTCACCCTGAAGGGACCCCTGCGGCGCATGTCACATCCGAAAACGCATGGACGCCTGCGTCTGGACACGAAGAAAGGGAAAGAGAGACAGGGAGGGACAGATAGAGAGAGCTAAAGAGAGAGAGAGAGAGAGAGAGAGAGACACACCAAACAAATGAAGAATAAGAACACGGATCTGGATAAAAAGGAACAGCAGGAGTGTAATGGAGGCAAGAACGCAGGTGGAAGGCGAGAGAGAGAGAGAGAGAGCGAGAGAGCGAGAGATAGAGAGAGAGAGAGAGCGAGACATCGGAGGATCTAATCGAAGGGTTTCGGGGGGGAGCAGTGCACGAGAGAGGCTTCGCCAGTCGCCTCCTCCACTGTAACCTCGCTCGTGCCATCCTGGGGCCCAGGGGGGCTGGCGGCGCGATCGCGGGACGGGAGCACGCCCTGCGTTCGCGTGCCAAGGGCTGGAACCACGAGCGCAGAGACTGCGAGCCGTGGCCAGAAATGCACTTGAAGATGTCCGCCATGGCCCGACGCCACGCGCTGAGTGCAACGCAAGTGTCAACAGTACGTGTACGTACGTTAGTATGCAAGCGTGTGCATGAATTTATTCACACACGAGTCGGTTCGCCATCACTGTTTCATCTCGCTGTGCAGGGTGCGTGGCCAAACCTGGAAAGGGTGTACCAATCTTATTCACGTGAAACTCCGCACGCTTGACCTGAGCAAGAACATATTCCCGTGGGAAATGTTTTGAAGATATCCTGGCGTCCACCCCTCCTCCACCCCCTTTCATTCCACATTAACGAGCACCGCAGCAACCTCGTCATACGCACATCTGGTCCAGGGATGACTGCAGCCGCACGTAAGGATCACTGAATATTATGGTGTGAAAGTCCTGGACGCACATTCAACCCAACAATTTTGGATGTTGCCAGTTTGGATGAGGGAGGGATGAGAAGGAAGAGGAAAGGACGAGAAACGCTGATCGTCCACTCGATGGTACGCCAGGGCGATGGGCAGCGAAACAAGATGAGGCGGGGGCGCTGCTCCGAGGTTGACAAATATAATCCCGGCCCGGAGCGCCCCCAACTTTTCGCGCCAGTGTGAACTTTTCCAGCCCCTCTCGACCTCGTGAGGGGTGCTCTGGAGGCCATCTGGGCTTGCTCGGAGCAGCTGGGATGAACCTGGGCTCGGGCCACCTCCATCTCTGAAAACTGTGGAGAGCCTTTCCGAGAGGGGGCACCCTGTAGCGCGAAGATCAACTTAAGAACTTTGGGCCGGCCATCCTGCGGAATCTTGAGAGCACGCCTGAGCCAGCCTTGCCATGCACAACCCCGTGCACTGGCGGGGAATCTTGAAAGGTGGGCCCCCCCCCTTCCTTTCCCTGGGTACCCTTCCCCTCCTCCTCCTCCTCTTCCATCTCCTCCTCCTCCTCCTCCTCCTCCTCCTCCTCCTTTTCCTTATCCTCTCCCTTGTCCTTCCTCGCCCTCCTCCTCTGCCTCCTCCGTCCCCTCTTTCTCCTATTTCTACTCCTCCACCTCCACCTCCTCCTGCTCCCCCCTCCCCACTTCTTCCCCCTCCCCCCTTCCCCCCTTCTCCTCCTTTCTCCCCCTCTTTCTCCTCTCTCATCCATATACTTATTCTTCTGATTCCACCTACGGCTTCCCTCATATTCCTTGCCTCATCCTGCTCGGTATCATCATCATCATCATCATCATCATCATCATCATCATCATCATCATCAGCATCAGCAGCAGCAGCAGCAACATCATCACCAGCAGCAGCAATAGCATCACCATAATCAGCATAATCATCACCACCATCATCATCAACAACATCACCATCAGCATCATCATCAGCATCATCATCACTATCACCATCATCATCATCATCATCCTCAGCAGCATCCTCATCATCACCATCCTCATCCTCATTATCATACTCATCATCAGCACCGTCATCATTAGCATCATCAGCATAAGTATGAAAATGGGCATGAGCATGAGCATCATCAACGTCACCATCAGCATCAGCATTCACATCATCATCATCATCATCATCATCATCATCATCATCATCATCATCATCATCATCATCACCACCACCGTCCCCCTTGCCTGTCCTCCCCCGTCTCCTGATGCTCCTCCTGCTCCTCCGTATCCTCCTACTCCCGCCTCTCCACTTCCTCCCCTCCCCCCCCCTTCCCTTCAGGAATCCACATGTATCTCCGCGCTGCTCCCCATACTCCTTCTTCTTCCTCCGCCTTCTCCTCCTTCCCTCATGCTCTTTTCATCCTCCTCCTCCACCTCCGCCTTCTTCCTGCAGTCGGAGTAGTATTTGTTGCTACTGGCCATTTCCCTCACGCGCGCCTGCATCGGGACGGTCCTGGAACAATCGTCGTGTTTCTGGTGCCGCTGCGTCCGTGACCCGTTTGGTTCACTCAGCTCGCCTTGGCGAAACCTTATGAAAACGCACCTCGTCCAGCGGCCTAGCACGGCGGCGCTCGCGCACGCACAGGCGTCCTCAGTCGCCGGGGACCACCCGCCCACCTACGCATGCAAACACACCGCTGGAGAGCAAGGCGCAGGCAAACACACCAAGGCAACGCAGGCAAACACACCGCCAACGCCAACGCAGGCAAACACACCCACCCGCCAACGCAGGCAAACACACCGCTTGAGAGCAAGGCGCGAGGGCGCTCCAGCAGTCCGTGCCGAGAGCGCGGGTGCGCTCCAGCACCCGATTCTCAATCGAGGGCGAGCGGCCCCGCGGCCCTTGGCGTGCGCTCCAGCATCGGATGCGTGTCGGGTGTGAGGCCGCTCCAGCAGCCCACGCCGGAAACGGAAGCGTGATCGAGCACCGTGTCCAAACATCTGTACAGTCGGGCCTGGGACAGAAGAGCATCCTGCAAGAGCATGAGGCGCCCCGCTGGCCAAAGCACTCCAAGCTATAAGATCATTCGAGGCTGCCCTCCCCCAGGATGCACAAGGACATCCAACAGGCACGAAGAACACTGGGGCACGCTCCCCGAACCGACCCCGATCTTCTACCTCGGTCCGGCCGTGGCTAAACCATCCAATTCAAAACTTCTCGCCAAACCTGTACCCACGTTTCCCCCCCCTCTCCCCCGCCTCTCCCACATCCTGCTCCTCATCCTCCTCCTCCTCCACCCTTTCCACCCCGTCCTCCTCCTCCTCCTCCTTCTCCTCCTCCTCCCCTTCCTTCTCCTCCTTCTCCTCCTTCTCGTCGTCCTCCTCCTCCTCCTCCTCCTCCTCCTCCTCCTCCTCCTCCTCCTCCTCCTCCTCCTCCTCCTCCTCCCCCCTCCTAGACGCAGTGCTGCGGACAGGCTCGATCCTGTCCATATTAGTCGGAGAGGGAATGGAAACCACGGAATAATCGCGAACAGGCATGCCGTCACACTCGCCTTGCTACCATGACGCTGTCTTGCTCCTGCCACTGCATGCCTCGGGCCTGCCCCATCGCAACTGCCGCTGCAGTAGACTACTGCTTTCGTGCTTCGGGAGATCGCTGCCCTCACGTGCCAACCCCTGGCTGTAATCATGTGCGTCACCGCCGTGCCTCTGGCGTGACCCAGAACATGCATGGTCTGCGAGGTGTCATTTGCAACTTGCGCCTCCTCTGCTTTGCTTTCGCGGGCCCGTGGTGGTCTGCCATTGGACACACATTGCACGGTAAGCCTGGCTCGGACGCAGCCGGTCCGCCCTCGGACGGCGACGACTTCAGAGTGGCTGTCATCAACCCCGGCGTGCTGAACTCGGCGACTGGCGGGTCCATGCTGGCTGAGTGCGGGACCTAGCTTTTCTGTGCAAGAGAGGTCGACTTTGGATCCCATTCGGTGTCGCGCCGGTTCGCGTGGCTGCCCCGCACGGGCGGGAGCGCCACCTCTGCGCCCACCCTGGCGCTCTGCGTGCCTGGGGCGGTACTGGCTGGCGTGTGGCCCTCTCCCCTTGCCAGCCTCTCCCTGCTCCCAGAGACCCCGATGTCCGCGGTCCCTCCGGACCACCCGCCGGGCGTGGGCCTCAGCGGACGGGAGGCTGCCGCCCTCACTCGGGTGTCCCCCTCTGCCAGTGCCTCTGTGCAGGCGGTCTCTGGTGATGTCGACTCGGATGGAGAATATCGAGGTTCTCCTCAGTTCTGCTCTGAAGGCTGCCGAGGTGTACAGCGGATTGGCTCTCATCGAGGGCGATGCCAATGTTGTGCCCGACGGGAATCTTGCTTTCGCTCGCACGAGGCTGAAGGGGGTGGGTTGATGTGGCCTGCGCCATTGCGGCCCACGAAGGCAGGGAACTCGGTGCCATCCACGCTCAGACCGACAGGAGCCCCCGTCGCATTGACCAACTCTGAGCGAGCCCTGTCGCTGCCCGTGTTTTGCTTTATGTTTCGATTTTCGAATGGACAGGGCACACGCTGGTTGTCGTGTCTTTTGCGCGGGATCCTTCGTGCCCCCACTTGACCAAAATAAATCTGCCTGCGGACCCACTTGTCGTCTCAAGGACTCGTGCGAATGACTGTCCCTACCCGCATTTATCTGGCCGACGTTGGGCTTTCATGCTTGGAGTGTGGCCGCTGCAGCTGCAAACTTTCCGCAGCGATGTTCTCTTTCCCGAGGGTGACGATGATGCTGGCAGCACTGTGTCTCGCCATCGCGGCCGCGGCCGGGCCGCGGCCGTTTTTTGAGTGCGGAAGTGTCAGCAGCGAGCCCGCCCAGGCCAGGGCAATTTTGCGAGCGATTCCCCTCACACGGTGCTGGCTCGCTTGATGATCAAGCAACTTCGTCGACTGTTTGCGCCCTTGATCTCGCCCGCCAGGCGACTGGCCCCGGGTGGCAGTGGCTCTCGTCTGCCAAATTGAAGGTGCCAGGGGCTCAGGAGCTCCATTCGTTCTGGTCGCAGTCTCGCCCTCCCCTTTCATGCTTGGTGGGACAAGATCCTATACTCCTGTCCGCGCTCTTGGGCTGCCAGCGCACGCGGGGTGTTCACCCTGTCCTTCCTCTCTTCAGTTTTGCGGGCGAACCCGCCGTTCGGTTCATCGAACATGTCATTCCGATTGCGCAATCGCACGCCAACTCCACCATACAGCCGGCGAGTGATAAGCGTCGTCGGCAAAACCGTGATGCCCTTGCGGAAGACGCGGCCGACTCAGGGCGGCTGTGCTGGAAGGCCACCCAGTCTCCTACCAGCGCAGCGGGATCCATGCTGTGAGAAGCCAATGGGGCGTGGCTCACTGAACCGCACCAGATAGATAGCACCATCTGGGCGCAATGGCACCCCACTCACGGCCGCCATTCCAGCGGTGAAGATTGAAGCACCACTCGTGCCTTCATTGATGCCGGCATTCAGCAGCATGAAGGCCTTGACCTCGGCCTCTTAGTGGCTGAGCTCCGAGGCGCGTGCAAACGCATAACCGCATGCCGATGATAATAAAGGGACCCCCCCCCTTTCAGTGTTTAGAGTTGATTATCGTCGCCCTATACAAAATTCAAATTGGGCGGCGAGCGCTGAGGCCGAACTTCGTTATCACCTCGAAACGCTATGTTGAGATAGCAACATCAAGCGATGTTGATATAGCAACATCAAACGAAGCGATCACACTTTTTCAGGATGTGTCAAGCGAAACCAATAATTTTGGGAGGCAGACTCAAACGAAACGCGCGCGCCTGAACTTTTTTTATCTCTGGGGTTGATTATCCATGGAAAGGGGAGCACATGAGCTACTTACATGAGCACTTTTTTTTTTTTAAAAAAAAAAAATCATAAAACGTTTGTAAATTAAAATTGATAGCTTTGGAACTCTCCATTTTTCCGTTCTTCTTCTCTTATTATTCTTCTCTTCTTTTTCTCTTATTATTATTATACTTTCCTCGTCTTCTTTTATATTTCTATATGTCCTCACGCTCGCCTGAACTTTTTTATCCCTGGGGTTGATTACCCATGGAAAATGAAGCACATGAGCTACCCTACACGAGCACTTGAAACAACAATGTGCGTAAAGCGCTTGTAAATTAAAATTGATAGATTTGTAACTTTGGATTTTTCCTTTCTTCGTCCTCTTCTTATTATCCTCTTCTTGGTCTCCTCTTGATCATCTCTTACTTCGAAATTATGCTGAGGTCTGCTGGGCTACTTTTATTATCTCTCCCTGAAACCCGAACTTTATTATCCCCTAGTGTTTATTCTCACGGGCATGAGGTTAGCTGCCCGTACTTTTGTGTCGGCTGGCGGCTGGCGTCCTTGGGCCCCTGAAGCTTGCAACTCTGCTTTGTGTTTGCTATGCAAACTCCAAAACGCCAGTGGCCGATATTGATGCTCCTTTGATGCATCTCTCTCATCCGCAGACGTGAACGGGCGACCACTGCGGCGGACCTTCACACCATCGCAAGTTCTGAATTTGGTGTGCAGAACTTTGTCGAGCGCCATTCCCCGCAAGCTGCTCGCGTGGTCCCGTGCACGCTTCCCGACCCCCCGCGTCAGAGGCGGCGCCCCTGTGCAGGAGCCGGCGGACTGCATTCCGGAAGTGGCGTTCAAGCTCGATTCTGCCTCGGTCTGTGGGGGCGCGCTCGGCCAGCCAGTCGCAGAAATGGGCGCTCTTGACCTCGTCCATGCGGGCCCGCGCGCCGAAGGGCAAGTAGCACAAGCGCGCGTGGCGGTTCTCAGCCTTCGCCCGTTGCACTTCCCCTTCGTCGAGGGGGTTGGTTGCCACGTGCACGTCCTCGCCCTCGGCGTCCTGATCAGCTTCCGCTTCAGGTAGAAGTGCTCCAACAGACGAGCCCGCATGCCCAAATGCGGCGGCAGCATCCCGTGCATGCCGCCCGTCGGGCCTGGGTTGGCCTGATTCATCAGCTTCGCGGCCATGTCCAGTGGCGGCGGGGGCGAGGATTCGTCGGCGGCCTGCACGAGGCAGAGGATTTGCCCGAGAGTCTGCGCGTCACTCTTTGCGCGCATCATCATCCAGCGAGCCACAGTGCCCCAGAGCCAAGCGAATCTGCGGCCCGTCTGGAGCCGCTCCTCGGTGAGCCTCGGATCATCCGTCTTCACCTGGATGCGGCCCCGCTTAGCGGCGACGCCAGCGGGCATCCTGCCCCTTCGCGGCTTCCGCACGAACTCCACAAGGTCCCTGAGGCGCCCGTCCTTCAGGCGGCTTGCGGCCTGGAGCTCAAAGCACGGGGTCGTGTCGCAGCATGATTTCGTGACTTGCCGGTGATCGACAGGCGGCCCCTGCCTCTTGCTGTCGGCGGCAACCATCTGCTGCGTGTCAGACAGCAGCGATAACCCGGAGCCCATCGGTTTCAGCTGCAGGGACCGACGACAGCAGCGACAATGCCGAATTCGCTGCAGCCCAGGGAGCCACGAGGTCTCGGCTTGGTCCGGGTACGCCCCAGCTCCGCTGGACCCCCCAGGAAGCCGCAAGGCTCCGGCTGGGTCTGCGTGGCCCCCCACTGCGCTGGACCTCCCAGGAGCCCAAGGGATTGGCGACACCTGCGCGATTCGCAGCCACCCAGGGAGGTGCGAGGACCCGGCTGGACATCCCAGGAGCTCACGAAAAGAGGCGACTCTTGCGCAATTCGCAGCCACCCAGGGGAAATCCTGGCTGGATCTGCGTGGCATCCCACTGCGCTGGACCTCCCAAGAGCCCACACGAAAATGGCGACAGTTGCACAGGTGGCAGCCGCCCAAGAAGCCGCGAGGCCTCTGCTGAATCTGCGTGGCCCACGGCTGCTCGGGTGTCCTCCTGCTCTTCCTGCTCCTCCGCTATTTTTGTTCCGCTATTTGCCGCGCCTTGAAGGGTTTGATTCCTGAAACGCAACACGGCGGCAGCTGCCGCCGACCGAGGCGCCTCCGCGCCCGAGCCTAGCCGCGCACGCGGCCGACGCGCGGGCGCCTTCGGCGCCGGGGGGGGGGGAGGGGGCCCCGCCCAGGGGAGAGGAAGGGGCCTCCAGGATCTCTCGGGGCAGAGGAAGAGCGGGGGGGCGAGGCCCTAAAGCCTGCTCCTCCTCCGCGTCCTCCCCTACCTCATCCCTCTTCCCCCCCTCCCCTCCCTCTCCCCTCGCTCCTTCGGGGACGACGACGACGACGATGACGACGACGAACTGCACGAGAGGGCGGCCGCCCCGCTATGGCGGGCGGGGCGCCTCCTTGATGCCGCCCTTGCCGAGCCTCCGCATGTGGACCACGGCGTCCTCCTCCTGGGGTGGGGCAGCGAGGTTCGAGGGCTTCGAGGGCCTCGAGATTTTCGGGACTCGAGGGCTTCAGGCATTTTGGTTGCTTCGGATCTCTGCAGTTGTCCAGCTTCGAGGTCTCGGGGTCCGAAGATCGAGGCTCGGATCGAGGTTCGATCGATCGCGAATCGAGGGTCGAGGATCGAGGATTGATCGATGGGGGATCGAGTGTTGAGGGTCGATTGTCGAGGATCGAAATCTATGATCGAGGATGGATCGATTGAAGATCGAGATCCAATCGAAGATCCAAAGGACGCAATCAAGGATCCCAGATCTGTCCAGACTTCCTCGTGTCATGAACAAATCGAGGTTCGAGGTCCTTGGACATTTTAGTCGGTTCGGTTCTCTGTTGTTTTCCTGCCCCAAGGTGCTCGAATCGTCCCGAGCGGTCGCCGGAAAGCCGAGCGAAGGCCCAGAGAGGCCCAGACCCGAAAAGGCCCAGGGTCCTCTCGCGCAGTAAGGGAGCGCAGCGAGTGCGGGGAAGGGGGTCGGTCTCCGTGAAGGGGCCCAGGGGCACACGAATAAATACACACAAATCCCAGGATGCCCCACGTTTCCCGCATTTTCTGGACTTCCGCCTCCTCGCCCGCTTCCATTTCCCAGGTTTTCCGCCGTTTTCCTGGGAATCGACGACTCATTGTGGCCGTGTGTGTTCCCCAGTCCTGACTCTGGGAGGGCCCTTCCCGGGCCTGTGGGTCGTCAGAGAAGGGCCCCGGGGAAGAGCGGGCCCACGAGGGGGTGCGAAGACCAACCGGGGACCCGCGCTGCGAGAAAGGTCAGAACGTCGGGAGTCTGGGCCCGAGGAGTGGCTCCATATGCTCGACGTGGCCTCTTGCCGCCCTGCCTGGGCCTCCGGTCCCGGGAGCTCCTCGCCCGGCCTGGCCACGGGGCAGGCCCCGGAGAGAAACCCGAGGAGAGCGAAGACGGCACCCGAACAGACGGATCCAGAGGCCTGGCCGGGAGTCGTCTCGGGGGCGCCGGGCCCCGCGTGGGCACGTTTCCCCAGGCCTGTCCCCAGACCCCCGACGTCATGATTTTTTCATGACGTCGACCCCCAGAGATCTCGACCCATTCCCCGGGACCGGTTTTTCATCCTGAGTCGTTTTTTGACGCTCCCGAGGGCCGGTAAGGGCCTCCAAAGGCCGAAAATTAGGAAAAACCTCCCGTCGTGATTTTTTCATTACTCGAGGGGGTCTGGGTCTGCAGCAGCAGCCGTCAGCACACTGCTTCTGTTTTTTACCTGGGCGGCGGGCTGCCAGCGCCCTGACGGGCTGGCCGGTGAAGGCCGCGAAGGGCCGGGCCGCGGAGGCAGGCAGGGACGCAAGGGTACAGTCAGGGCGTTGGCCTAAGGAACCCTAGATAAGGAACGAGGCCCCTTTTTTCCATAAGTTAAACTCTGATGTCCGATCAAAAACATAAGGAAAGCCTGAGGCGAGCCGTGAAACACTTCAGGAACACGGAGCCCCGCCCCAACGAAAAGGGTTCCTTCTTCAGGGCCCCGACTGTATCTTGAGGACACCCGTGCGCCCTTACGATGGGCTTTGGCTGTAGCACGCTGCTTCCACCTCCCCACGCCTGACGCAGGCGACTGCTGCTCCCCGTCGCGGCCCCCATCTGCAGACACACAAGCGCACGAGCCATTGCCAGCATGCAGTCGGCCACCTTCCTCCTCGGTTTGCTCCTGCTGCCTCTCCTCAATTGTCCTCCTCGCCCTCCTCCTCCTCCTCATCCTCCTCTCTTCCTCCGAATCTAAGACGAAGCCAGGACGAGGACAACATCGGGCGAGGAAAAATCAAAAATCTAAGATGCGCCGCTGCCTTCTCAGAGGGTTCTGGAACGCTCTGAGAGCGTTCCAGAACGCTTTGGAACTCATTGATCCTCGTCCTAACCCCGTCCGAAAATTCTCCCCTGCGTGTCCCCCGGGATCGCGGGAAAACTGCGCGCGGGGGATGCGGTGGCGAACCGGATCCATCATCTCTATGTGATGCTGGGTGAACCTCGGGGCAAGCGGTGCCAGCAACATTGCCAACCTATGCCGTTTCTCCACCTGGCATCTCGCGCTGTCCACATGTCACAAGACACGCTGGAATTAGATGCAGACTCTGATGCAACCAAAATCGTGAACCCCGCGTGGCCGAAAGTATGGGTCCTCATTCTTGCAAATCGCTCTCAAAACAATATTGGGCAATTCAAAGCAATACAGTGCAACGAATTGCTGGTCGTGACTTGGCGTTGCTAGGCATTGCTTGGCGTTGCTTGGCGATTCTTGGAATTGTTTGGCATTGTTTGATTAGCATTGTTTGGCATTGCATTGCGCCAACAACGTTGCTTGCCATTGCTTGGCATTGCACGGGCACCCCCAAGCAACTCATGGCAACGCTGGTGGCGAAAGACCTCGCACCTAGCGCTTCCTGCCACGTGCAAGACTGAAGGCAATTCAGCAAAACCACCTTTGGGAACTAGAGAAGTCTGAGGTGCGATCCGCATCTCGGCCTACGTCAGATTACTGCTTGAACGAGGTGGGTCAGCAGTTTTCCTTTCACCCAAAATTCTTGGGGACGCGCACGCGTTCCATTTCAATGGACACGCTGCGTCGAGACGCAGGGCATGATCAAACATGTACCCAGTAAGTCCGCTGTGCGAATAAGCCCCAAGCCTGCCTGCGATGAGGCGAGGCAGGGCCAGCTGTCGTTCCCTGACAAAGTGCGCTCTAGAAAGCACTGCAAACATATGCAGCGTCCACTCAGATAGACGGCCTGATGGTGCTCCAGCAACACTTGATGATGTCGTTTGATGGTCGACTGGAGAAACGGGGACAACTCTGCCTTCCAAGCACCTGCTAGCATCCTGCGCTCTTCGTGAACACAAACTGCTGTTTAGCGCGTCAGGTGCCTCCCCGCCCTAGTCTTCCATATGGCACGGTGGGCGGCAGAAATGCCATACACGCTGCACTGCCAGAAGAATGTGTGACTTTGGCGCCCAGCAAGCTTTGATGGCACTCGCCTGGCAGGCTCGTGATATGCGATGGGATGGCAACGCCTGAAGATGTCACGTCAAGCAGCATCGCGGCTGAGTCCCGCACATCGAGGGAGTTCGACACTTATCGCTCATGAAGCAAATTGGAACTGGGCACCTGCATGCCCATGGTGCCATGGATGCGCCGATGTCAAAACAGCAAGGGGGCTGCGTTTGAATTAATGCACGCTGCTATCGATACAACCGAATGCCCAATTACATGGATATTGGCCCAAACCGCCTTAACACACCGATGAACACACAACCAAACCTATGCACACACTCTTGCCATGTGCAATGCGTGAAACAAACGTCCTGACAACATCGCGCGCACACTTGCGTGTCACTGAATTGCGACCCGCGGCCTCTGGAATCAAATTCCAAAATCACGCATCCGCCCCCTCCCTCCTCATCCGCATCCTCACAATTACCATCCCTCCCTCCCCGACAGCCCCAATCCGTGCCAAGATCGCTCGTCCGCTACTTTTCGCCGCTATGTACGCTCTTATTTCTAGTCTTTTTCTCCCCGTTCAATCTCCCCTCCAGCCACTGGGCATGCGTGCGACGCTAGGTGGCGTCAGCCGACAATTTGGCTACACTTACTTCGCACACCACACTCCATTAGACATTGATGGATGCTGGGCCTGTTGCGTCTCCATGTGTGACAAGTGCGTGTGGGTGCAGCACCATCTGGGGTCGACGAGCTCGCGCTGAGCATATTGTTCAGATTACCCCAGCCTCAGACTCCATTCGAGGTCGAGGGCTACTTGCACGTGCAAAGAAAGGCGTGCTGGATGTGACTGTGAGTGCTGCTTGGTTTCCTTCTCGACCTCGAGGATCGGAAGCTCAAGAGTGCCATCGCACCACGAGTGATCGTTTGGCTGACTGGATTGCGACTTGCTTATCGTCGCTTCGACGCCTCTCTGCTGTTGTGATCGTAACGATGATTTGGGCAGACTTCGACGTGATCATGGAGGATGGCAATATGATGATCAGAATGGGGTGCCGCCGCAGATGGCGACGTTTGTTCACCACGATGGAAGTATGATGGGACCGACTTTGCATCATAATGGTATGCTGGCTGCTGGCAATTTTCGAATGTCTGCGCCAACCATTATTCGACACGTGTCGATGATAGACTTTGTGTGCATGGCTGCAGGGCCTCACCGGCGGCTCGGTAGAGATCCCCAGATCATTCCGAAAGCTCGACCTTGTGATCATATGGATGTCCACGCAGTCTTTCCATATGTACTTGCGCCTGGGGTGGCACCCTACGAGAAGGAGACGACGCTGTGGAGGGTTGTTCTCATCACGCGATGTGTGAGAGGTGGTGAACGTCGACGAAGAGTTTCTGGAAGCTCTTCGCGAACGACTGCACACTGATTCTGGGAAGTTCGAACATGATCTATCTCAGGCCAATGCAGATGATTTCTGGATCACATGAATGGGTTGCTGATTGATGTGGGAAGCAGGGATCTGCACACCAGCCCAAATCACGAGTGACGATCGTCAGCGGCGTCGGGGTGCTCGCGAGTCAAAATTTAGCTGAACGGCTTTAACCCAGGCGATGGCTTGAGGAAGCGACGGGGGCTGAGGAGGAGGTAGCAGAACGTCTCAGAGCCCTTTCAAAAGCAGATCGACGACAACGACGACATGAGCGTCAGCAGCAGCAGCAAGCACTTGTAGCAGAGGCGCAGGAGCATCGGCGAGCTCGACGCTTGGCTGAGGCTTCGCGCTTGGCTCGGCGACTCGCGGGGCCTCGCCGGGGGGGCCAACAAAACCGAGACTGTCAAGCTGCACGCGGAGTGGTAGAAGATAAGGCCACTCTGGTTAGGAAATTCTTGAAGAAGGGCTACGGGGGGTGGCGTGGCGAGTACGGCTATTGACCCTTGGCATTCCTGGAAGCAGCAGCAACTCCAAGGTTTCCTTCAAGGTCCGAAGCCCTCTGCAGTGGAGGAGGCGTCTGTTCTACGAGATTCCAGTGTTACAATGTGTTGCTACGAGTCGTCATGGAAAGCGTAGTGCTGTTCCTGGGTTGCGGCCCCCTGGAGCTCCGGTGGCTTCTCCTGTTCCCCAGCTGGGGCCGGTCTCATCGTGGAGAGGGGGCACGGGTGTCAGCTGAAGTTCCAGAAATGAGCTGTAGTCAGGAGCTGATCTTGCGAGGTCTAACGCTTGTACGCCAGTGTCAATGTGCGCTGCTGCGTTGGCACTTGAGACGAGGTGCTCGTATTCCTCGGCCTGCCGGCAAGTCTCGTTGGATACATTTGCCCTATCCTTTCGGCAAGTCGTGGCCTGCAGGTTTGATGCGACAAACTGGGTCTCGAACAACTTCCCCCAAAGATCGCGGTTTTCTCCTGCGTTCGACAATACGACGGGGTGGTGGTTGGAACAACGGGGGCTCCCTTACATTACCAATGCCCACGACTTGACCAACGCGTTTGCTTCTAGTAATCGCGAGCGCAAACGAGCAACTGCTTCTGACCTTTTTCGTGATTGTCATCCGGGATCCAGGGTACAACGTATGGAGCGTGGTGCAACTAGTCTCCATGGGAGTGATGGTGATGCTGTCTCGAAACCAGGCTGCGGCGGCCTTGGCCTGGTGGGAGAGCGTTGAGCCGTCAATACGTTCGTGCGAACGTTTTTACCACCAGTAGCGAACTGGAGCAAGATGCAGCACCAGTGGGATCCAATCTCGACTTTAATGCGTGCACGCTGTCCTATTACGAGCCAGCTGTTGGACTTTTCCCTGACTTAATATGCGGATGATCTTACGACAAAGTTAGCAGGCCATATCACCATGGTATTCATAAGTTGGTGAGGTCCACCAGCGAGCTGGACACGGCGTTAGAGTCTGGTGGGCTTCGGCAGAAAATAACCAAGCAAGACACACTCTTGGCTTTCCGAAGTCCGGGGGCGGCGCAAGATCGTCGGGGAGGTCTGTCATGGGCTGATCGAATTTCCTGGACAGGCTGCTTCGGAATCCGGAGTCCGGGCTTTCTCATGTCGTCGACCGCGACCAGGCTCGGATCCGAGCGAAAGTCCAAGGGAGCATCTACGCATCGCGCGTGTTTTTTTCTCCGAGGTTGGCGAACGTTTTCTTTTTCGGCGTTTCGACAACGGGCTGGCGGTGGGGGGGGGGGGGCGGGGGATCCGAACGAAAGTCCAAGGGAGCCTCTACGCATCGCGCGTGGCTTCTTCTCGGGGGTGGGCGAACGTTTCCTTGTCCGGCGTCTCGACATCGGGCCGGCGGCGGGGGGGGGAGCGGAGCGGGGCGGGGTCTGGCTCCGGACCGCTGCTCCATGGCGACGGTTTGCGGCAGGTGCGTCCTGCGGGGGAGACTCTCCACCTGCTCGAAAGAGGCGCCCCCCAAACGCCCCAGATCTACTCCACGGAGGGGGGAGGGGGGGAGTGCGAGGCCCCGCGCCGATCGGCAGAATAGTGAATAAGAAAACGATCACGAGCTTTTTGGGCGTTCCTGGAGTTCCTCATCGGCTTCGCAGCTGCATCATCATTTCCTAGATACATAATACTGCATTGTCTCGGCGTGATGGGTTTTGCCTAGCGAATCTGAGCTTGCTAAGCTGCCTAGCATGGTGGCCGGGTATGCTAGAAGGGCGATGGGCGCACGGGCGTGTGATCCAGAGGCACCTGGACATCCTAGATCCATATGACCTCTGCAGCTGTTCTTCAGTGGTGGCGTCTCGTGCCGTTGAGTGCGGAGCTCACCATTCCCAGACCCCGACATCATGATTTTTTCATGACGTCGACCCCCAGAGGTCTCGACCCCTTCCCCAGAACCGGTCTTTCATCCTGACTCGTTGTTTGACGGTCCCGAGGCCCAGCAAGGGCCCCCAGAGGCAGAAAATAGTGACAAAACTCTAGTCGTGATTTTGTTCATGACCTGAGGGGGTCTGGGTTCGTCGCTTGCGATACTGGCAGTCCTTGGCTCGTGCGACGCTAAGCGACTCAACAAGTTCTCACTGCCATGTTCGGGCATGTTGCGTGTGCTTCTCCTGTGCTCGCTGGCGGGCGTCTCACTCCGATGACTTCCCCCATGGGCTCAGCAGGTAGAGGAAGATTATCAGGCCCTGTCTGATCTTGATGGTGTGGCATGCTTTATTGCAGATTTGGGAGGTCGAACATTCTTGGCGTTCTCGGTTCCAGAGTTGAGTGCAGCGTTCAATTGTATCGATCCTCGCCAACTTCGTTCTCGCATTTTGGGTGTCCAAGGTCCCCCCGCCGGGTTTCTCGACGCAGGGAGGGTTTCAGGAGTTGTTCGAGATGAGCAGGTTGAGGGAGCGTTAGATGGTGGAGGAGAGGCATGAGGGCGGGTACTTCGTGATAGGCGGACGGTACACGCACATGATAGCACATCATGGGTATCAAGAATTTGCACATGTCTGTTGGTATCCAATAAATGTGGGCTCGTTGTTTGCGCACTGCCTCTACTGTATGGGCCAAAACGCACGCCCAGGCTGCAATGCGAAATCACCGGAGCAGCGTGCGGGAGTGAGGACTTCTGAGGGGAAGGCCTCCGCCTCTTTGCCGCCAGCGTGTGGAGGCAGCAAAGGTCTTCTAGAGTTGCAGGCTCGTCGGGTTTTGCAGCCTGTAGAGTGTAGAGCAGAGAGCTAGTAGTGAAGGGCCTCGAGGTTTTTCGCTTTCGAACTGTCCTCGGAATGCAAGCCGATTTCAGCTCCAGGGGATTCCTCAGGATATGGGTAGAGTTTTTGTAGCGCCGCACCGAACTAAACCTCCAGGTCGGGCCGAAAGCAGCAGCAGACGCAGCTCTTGAATGGCCGCCTCCCTTTCCTGCTGTGTCCTCGTCTCTCTTGGGAACTACTGCCCGAGGCCTGCCCCGAAGGTTGCTTCACAAGATCGGACCTTGAGTTTTAGACGTCGTCCTCGCGGATGAAGGGCTGACTACCTACCAGACCACCCCAGCCCAACCCGAAGACCCGAATTTCGGGTTTGGGGAGGTAAGGGTTCCACATGTGCTTTTTCGATGTTTCCCGACCCCCCCCCCACTGGAAATCGAGGGTAAATCTGAGCCTTCGGGTTGGGTAGGGGTGGTTTGGTGGGTGGTGAAGGGCAGTGCCAGGGACCCCCTCCGAGCGATCAGCACCGCCTGGGCGGTCCTTTGGCCCGAATGCTCCCCACCTGCAGGGCGGAGAAACATACCGCCCATTCACGGCCACCCAGATCCAAAGGTGTGATCTCTTGTGCATGCTGCACGTATGTGCTTGCTGGGCAAGTCGGCACTCCATGGATCCGAAGGTTCCTCGTCTTGTCTTGTCCTCCCCTCCTCCCCTCCCGCTGGCCCCCGCTGCCCCTTTCCCTCCCTCCTCGTTGCCCGCCTCCTCCCGCCTCCTCCCCCCCAACGCCTCTACTGTCCAATTGTTCTGCTCAGCGTGGCGGCGGCCCCGGCGAAACCTCTTGCTTCACGCTGACTACGGACCTCACGTGTCAATGCCGAGGGGCTAGCGGCTCCAGGCTCCCGCAGGAGCCCCAGACCAAAGCCAAAGGAGCCGATCACCACCCAGCACTTCTTCGACTGCCCGGGCGCGCAGCGCTTGGATTCTGACCTCGGTAATGATTACCGCTGTGCTCCGCGATCCGGCAGCGTGTCGTTCCGTCCCACCTGGCGGGGGGCTTCGAAGGGCTCGTGACGCTGCGCCTGGACATGGGGATGTGGGCCGCGTGTCGCGCCGAAACGCGGTGGGCCAGAACCGGCGGGGCGGCACGCTCAGCCTACAGGGGGATTTTCGACGAAAAACAAAAAATACGCAACAAATGCCCCAACATGGTCAACAAATTGTCCCCAGACTCTTTTCTATATCCCAGAATGGTCGAAAAATGCTCAAAAAAATGTCCCCTGCCATTTTCTTTACTATTTTTGAATTTTCTTCCTGTGGAGGGACAGGCCCGACTTCACAAAAGCTCCCGGTCCCACCCTCACCCACCCACACACACTTCTTGCAGCGGCCGGGTGGCGGCCACGCCGCGAAGCGCTGAGCCTGGCGCAGCAGATTGAAGGGGCCCTGGGACACACAAATAAATACACACAAATAACAGGATTCTCTCTATTTTCCCATATTTTCTGGGTTCTTGTCTTCCCCCCCACTCCCCATATTTTCCCATATTTTCTGGGGAGTCGACGATTAATTGTGTCTGTGTGTTTGTTTCCCTCTTGACAGATGGGAAGATATGGCACAAGCAAACGTGCACCCCTGCAGCCGCCCTCTTCGGTCAGCGCCGCGCGGGGCCTCGCGAGCTGCAGCTTGGCGTGGCGCCTCGCCAGGGGCGGGGCGACGAGAAACCGGAGGGAAGGGGGGCGGCGATGCCGGTGCGGGGACAGTACTCGGCAGAACCTCTTGGGACGCACGGAGACATACCAGTACGATGCGTCATCCTGGGAAGCGCGCGTCCGACCGGAACACATAGTATACCCATCTTGTAGTAGATCGTTTCCTGAGCGATGTAGCCAGAAATCGCCCGCCACGACGCATATGCTATAAGAGTTCTCTGTGCTCGCGTCGCCCCGGGGGGATGGGGGGGGGCGATGCTGGGGTGACGCCGACCTCCTGGAGGAGGGCGACGAGGAGCACGGAGGACCCGGGGGAAGGCGCAAACGAACTGGAATTGCGGACTTGGGGACGCGGGCGATCTATACATATATATATGTATATGTGTATATATATATCTATCTATACACATGTATACACATTTATATATACACACAGATCTATGTACAAATATACGTATGTTTACACACATATATATATGTGTGTATATATATGTGTGTACGTACACCCAAATACAAATAATGCGAATACAATTGGCAATCGTATGCAATAATATTAAAAAAACAATCGCAATGGCAATCATGTATGGCACGATAGCAAACACCTGCACAATCACCACAAACCTGTGCCAGTCCGCGCGCACGCTTGAGCCGCAGCGGCGGCGTCAGGCGCGCGGGGTCGCATTCGAGACGGGGCCACCAGGCAGTGGAATGCACTAGCGAACGGGCGAAAAGGGAGGCGGTGAAGCAATCGCTGCGCCGCGTCGCGATCGCGTCTAGCAGACCCATGACACACTCGCCTCACCCCGAGCAGTCGTGCGATGAGCCCCGGGGAGCCACGCGTGAGTGTCCATGGCAGGCGCAAGTGAGCGATGCGCTGCCCAACGGCACCCCGCATCAAGGAGAGCCCGTGGGATAGCTTCCCGCGCATGCTGCGCCACTGGGTGCGATCTGGTGCCCTGGTACGGTCTGGACCTTATCGAGCCCGTGCGCTCCCATTGCGAGCTCCGGCGCGCATCTCGCGTCAAGAGCGGCGGGCTGCCCGAGATTGCAGAACATCCCGAAGCACGAGGCGTTCGGGGAATCGAGATGATACGAAAGTGGGGTTGGAGAGACATGCGATGTGTGTCCACGTGCGCTCTGCGCAGATCCCGTGGATCGTGCGAATATGCGTCCACATCGCACTCTGCGCAGCCCCATGGATCGGAGCTAGAACTTAGCTGCACCAACTCCGCCACCAAATGGAATCACGGAGTTGGCAACATGGGCAGTACAGATAAGAAACGAGATCAACACCTGTTCCCTCAGGAGAACAAGTGCTCGTCCGCATGCGTGCTGGCGCCGCAGCAGCGGCCGCGGGCGCGCAGGGTGTTATTCGACTGACGACGAGGGAGACGACGAATACAAAGTCAGAGGAAGGAGGATTCTTCGGATTCCTCCTTGGCGGCGCAAGCTCATGCCCTATCAACGCGGACGAAAGTCATGCCATACTTCGGTAGTAAGTCCCTCAAAACTATGCTCAGATTCTGCTTGCCCGTCTTGCTGGCGTCCGCGGGAGCCACGGCAGCAGGGCCCTGGTAGGACTCTGGCCAAAATTTGTCCAATCGCCCCTTCAAGGCAGGCAAACGCTCGAGACGCACAGCGCACTGAAAGGCGACCCCGCGCTTTACAGCGGAACGCCCCTGGCCAGCAAGCCGTTCTCGCCCAGCTACGCCACTGCAGGTGCGAGCCTTCTCTTTATGCTTGTCACGGCCCAAAAAGTCTTCGCGAACACTAGCGCAACCGCAAATCAACGACACACGACGCGCGAGACCTAGGAACCGTTCAATCTCAAGAAGGCATCAAGCATCAGCGCGCTCCACTTCTTGAGGTTAATCAGGACCCAGAGCCCCCCATTCGGCAGCCGCTCCAACCAAAACATCCGCCGCGCCGTTAGCCGCGAGCCCGTGGGGAGTGAAAGCGCGGTCGCCTATATGCTGTCGCGCGGGGTGGTTTTGTCCCCGCTGCAATGCGCTACCCCGGGCCTCTCGAATATGATCCCATACTTCCTGCCCAAGGTCCAACCTAGAGGGCGAGTCTGCTCCAGCACCCGGTCGATGGAACGCGTCCGCGATAGGCCAATTAGCAACATAAGAAGTCACATTGCCAACCGTACGTCTAAAGATTGCATGCTGTTCAGCGCGGGGAGAGCTCTGGGCGCCGAGGCCCGCGGCAGGAAGGACACCGCGGGGACTCTTCGAGCATCCAAGGGGCCGCCGCCCAAATGCACCACGGCCCGCGGGCGCCTCCCACGTCTCCGAAGTAGAGCGAACTTCCCACCAGAACCACCACCACCAAAGACTCCACTGACGATGTTCTCGCCGTTGCTGATGGCGCCCAGGAAAGAATCCCAAGCCCAGACACGGCCAGAGACAGGCGGGGGATCATCGGTGGCCCGCCCTCGAGGAACGGGACCACGGGGCCAGAAATATTCAGCATCTTCGGGGCCCGCGCCTTCATGCGCATTTTTAGTGGCCCCGATCGCGAGATCATCTAAATTGGAGCTACCACTGCGACCCCAGGACCGATGGATGGGCGTTTCCTTTGCATCTCTGCCCCGAGGGCGGAGACCAGTACTGACGTGGCCCGAGTCGTGGGGGCGCGCTTTAGGCCACTGGCCTCCGAAGATTAAGTTATTGAGCAATGCCGCGCCTTCATGGTCGCCCTGCTCCAGCAGTCCAGCTCGGAAATGTTTGCACGCCGCGAAGTCCGAGCCTGCCCGGGGGCCTCGGCCGCGAGAATGCGGATGGGGCGTTGCGCGAAAACTCTCTGGCAGCGCCAAGGTAGATAGCGCGCCGCGGGTAGATTGCAAACTCTCACCCCCTCACACTCAAAACATAGGGCCTAGGGTTCCTGTCAAATCCAATCAGGACACGACGACGCCGCAATAGGGCCGCGAACGCGACGCCGCCTGCACTTGGGCTGAATTCCTGCGGAAACGTTCCACCAGGGTGCCCCTGAATCTATTCGCATTCATATTGTCTTTCATCCGGGACCTTCCAAATGCGGCCCCATTCTTGCAGATGCCCGCGTCGCAGGCGGCATCCTGGATCTTCGCTCGCAGGTTCATCGACCGCGCACGCAGTAGTAGAGCAGCCGCGGAAGACCATCGGCCAGACGCTTGGGCTGCCCGTCCCCGTAGCTGCTGAACAACCGACGGGGGCAATCCATTCGCCCGGCGACCCCGTGCGCTGACGGCCTGGACAGCCGGTTCTAAAAGACGCTCGGCTTTCTCGTAAACGGAGGCGAGGGGGGGCAGTTGTTCCGCCCGTCTAGCTCCCTCTCGTTTTCGTCGCTACATCTTCCACGTCGCCCTCCATGCCCGTCGCGGCCCCCAGGCCCGGGCCCTCGACGGCGCCCGCGCAGGTTACAGGGGCGCGCGAGCGAAAATTCCCCAGCGACGCGACCAACTTCGGCAGGGGAGGCAACCGGGCAGGACTCGGTGAAGATAGAACGACCCCTCTGCACATAATCATCGCGCAGCCCAGTGGCCGCGGGCACAACAAATCGAACAATCTCTCCTGCGCTACCTTGGAGAGACTGGGCCAGGTCGTCGGCGCAAGCATGCATGGATGGGCACATGGGGAATGCGAGTATGGTCTTCCCCAGTATATCACACGCATCGCAGTGCGCCCACGAGGGTGGCTGAGAGCGACCAGCTACAATATGTTGACCAGCTGCGAGCAAGACCGCGGACCCCACCTCGGGCAAACTCGGGGCGGCGTGGATCAGGGGGCACCTGTAAAATGGCGCAGCGGAATAGTCAAAGCCACGAGCCACTGACAAATGCTTGGGGGGGTCGATGGACTCTGCATTCTTCTGCGATGCCCCAACGGACTCACATGGGCGCTTGGTCTCCTTCTCGGGCCAGCTCGCGCTGCAGCTCGCGGATCATGGCGGCCCAGGGGGCCGACGAGTTTGTCGCAGCCGTGCCCGAGAAGGCTAAGCGGAAATCGCTCCACTCAAGAATATTGCCCCCCGGGGTCTTAGCATGCATGCGGCGCGGGGTGAAGAATTTGGCGATGGGCCTTTTTTTCAGAGGCCGCCGTTTCGGGGAAGAGAGCGACAAGACGCAGGTGGACCTGAACAGAGAACGCAAAAAAATACTAGATCGCATTGAACACATCGGCAAAGTGCCGCGCGGCCTCCAACGGCACCATAGCGATGTCACGCGGCGACCGGCCGTCAACTCCTAACCCAGTGTCGAAAGCAGAAAGCATGGAACACACGGTGCACTTGGTTCGCCATACATATACCCAATGAGCTTTTTTTTGAGCGTTTTCAACTCGGCGTCATGCGGATATGGTTTCCGCGTTTGCATGCCAAAAAACTAGAACGCTAAATCAATGATGCGTTGTTTTCGCGCTGTCAGACATCATTGTAGCGCTGTTCAGTTCACCAATCAATCAACATAAATATATATATATATATATATATATATATATATATATATATTGCTACGCACCAGTAGGCATCTCTACACGGGCGACCAGAGCAGACGTGGGCAGAAGGGCCATGCAGTGCGCGAAGCGCGACAGATAACTCTTTTTGCCAGAGGGTTCCACTCAAGAACGTCGCTTCTGCTGTGGTGTCGCCACAGCACAAGAGAAAAGCTTGAATTATCGAGATAATCACCTCATCCCAGGGAGGGAGGGAGGGAAACTACAGAGCCAAAAAGGATTATGGAAACGACATCCTGTCGAGCGGTCGCCCTCGAGAACACAGCAAGAGATGTCAGGGACAGAACACTGCTACGCACCAGTAGGCCTCTCTACACGGGCGACCAGAGCAGACGCGGGCAGAAGGGCCATGCAGTGCGCGAAGCGCGACAGATAACTCTTTTTGCCAGAGGGTTCCACTCAAGAACGTCGCTTCTGCTGTGGTGTCGCCACAGTACAAGAGAAAAGCCTGAATTATCGAGATAATCACCTCATCCCAGGGAGGGAGGGA